CCATGATTCAGCGCCTGTTAAAGTTCTCTGAAGAAGTGCTACAGGATCATTTTTCCCTGCCTCTTGACTTCTCAATCAGAATTTCAGCAACATTTATGTGTTATTTCAAATTCAGTACATATATATGCAGATAAGTAATGTAGATTATGCATACATAACATTGCTTTGAATACACTGAGGGTTTTCTTGGTGTGTGTGCATGCGTGTGTGTGTATGTTTGCCAACTAATAATCACTAATGGGGGCAGGTGCTGTGGAGTAGCAATAAAGCTACCACCTGCAGTGCAATTACTTGAATTGGTGCCTGATTCAAGTCCAAGCTGCTCCACTTCCGACCCAGCTCCCTGATAATGTGGCTGGGGAAAGCAGCAGAAGATGACCCAAGTCCTTGGGCCCCTGCACCCATATGGGAGAATGGGAAGAAGCTCCTGGCTCCTGCCTTCAGACAGGCTCACTCTGGCTGTTGTGGCCATTTGGGAAGTAAACAAGCTGACAGAAAACATCTCTCTCTCTGCTTCTGCCTCCGTCTCTCCATAACTCTGCCTTCCAAATAAGAAAACAAATCTTTTTTTAAAAAAAATCACTAATGAAAATTCTCAAATATTTAGAATTTTATTTTTTTGCAAAAGGAATGGTTGGGGAAAGAGGCAGAAAACATATTGGAAGGAAAAAAAAATAACTTTCTCATGAGCCCCACCCAACTGCTATATGATATAATGAAGGTTTAGACTTGTTAAGTGTCATCAATGATTCATTTAGACTCACTTAGCATATTTATGACTCTGTTCTGATTTAAAAGCTTCTACATAAGTCTTACATATTTCTTAGTACAATATAAAAATATTCTTCATGTATGAGGACATTTAAGCTCACAAAATGATAAGGGCTCCATAAACTTCTTGGATATTTCAAATCAAATCCAGTGTGAGCATTACATTATACTAAATAAAAAGGAAAAACAAACTGGGGGAAACATTTCCACCTAACATAGTAAAGTGCTAAGATCTAAAATAAATAAGATGCAACAGCCAAAATTTGGAACCAATCAAGGTGTCCATCATTAGATGAATGGATAAAGAAAATGTGGTATATATATATACAACAGAATATTAGTCAGTTATAAAAAAGAATGAAATTCTACCATTTGCAGCAAGATGGATGCAACTGCAGGACATCATGTTGAGTGAAACAAACCAGACACAAAACAAATACCATTCTCCCTTACATGTGGGAGCATAAAATTTAAAAAACAAATAAGAAAGACAAAAGAAGAAACGTCTGTGTGTATCATCAGTATTGCTGCAAATATAGTTTTGTAAAACTTCGTTTTATACCTTTGTTATACCAATGGTTAAGAATGTTATATGACATGAACATAGATGCAAAAATCCTCAATAAAATTCTGGCCAATAGAATGCAACAACACATCAGAAAGATCATCCACCCAGACCAAGTGGGATTTATCCCTGGTATGCAGGGATGGTTCAATGTGTGCAAAACAATGTGATACACCACATTAACAGACTGCAGAAGGAAAACCATATGATTATCTCAATAGATGCTGAGAAAACATTTGATAAAATACAACACCCTTTCATGATGAAAACTCTAAGCAAACTGGGTATGGAAGGAACATTCCTCAATACAATCAAAGCAATTTATGAAAAACCCACAGCGAGCATCCTGTTGAATGGGGAAAAGCTGGAAGCATTTCCACTGAGATCTGGTACCAGAAAGGGATGCCCACTCTCACTACTGCTATTCAATATAGTTCTGGAAGTTTTAGCCAGAGCTATTAGGCAAGAAAAAGAAAAAAAAATGTTATATGACTTTATTTTTAATGATCTGTGATTACTTTTTACTGTATATAGGTGAAATGTTCATTTTTCCATTCAATCATTGTTTGTCACCATTGTCTGTATTCTCACTAAACTAGGGTCTTTTTGCTTTTTACTTGTTAAACTTTTTATTTGGTGAAGTATTAAGCCTTTCTACTGTAATATAAACTTTAAATGTTGTCTCAAAAATTTTTTAAAAAAGGAAGAAGAAGGAAAGTGTCGGAAGGAGAGAGGGAGAAGTAGGGAGTAAGGGAATATCATTATGTTCTTACAATTGTATCTACAAATCACATTGAATCTGTTAAAAACTAATTAAAATTCAATTTTTAAAAATAAAATAAGGAATTCAAAATTTTTTTAGGAAAATAACAATAGCTCAATTGATAAATGGGCAAACGATATAAATAACAACAAAAAATTAACAAGTGTATGTGAAAATGTTTACTCTAAATGTCGGTGACATTATACATGATTACAGTGTTTTCAAAGCAATTTACTAACACATACCAGACATAAACAAATGTTCATACCCTTTGACACACTTAATCTGAGTCCTGAGAATTCATCCTAAGGAAAAATTTGAAAGCAGGAAAAAACATATGTACCAATTTACTTATCACATTATTACTACCATATGAAATATTTAAATGATCTAAATATACAGTAATAGGGAAAATTAGTAAATTACATCATTTTATATCATTCTATAGGACTATATAACCAGGTAATAATGAAAATTATAAATTGTTTTTATTGTAATTACAGCTATATAAAATTCTTAATGTATGTAGACAAAGAGTATAGAGAATATGCAAAATTTAGACATTAATAGGTTAAAGAATTATGGATTTTGTTTTTATAAAAAATACACTTTGTGAATATTAGTTTTCCCAGGTTTATGGAGGTATGATTTATAAATAAAAATTGTGTACATTTAAGGTGTACAACATGATGTTTATATATATTATATATATAATTACCACAATAAAGCAAACGAATCCATCATTTCACAGAGTTACCATTTTGTGTGTATGTGTGTGGTGAGAATATTTAACATCTAGTCTCTGGAAATTCCAAGTGTAAAATGCATTATTAATAACTATGCTCACAAACTGTTGAAATCTTTATTTAATGTATGCTAAACAGATCTTCTGTATTTAAGAGAAACGAAAATGAATCTTGATGTGAATGGAAGGGGAGAGGGAGTGGGAAAGGGAAGGGGTTGCGGGTGGGAGGGACGTTATGTGGGGGAAGCCATTGTAATCCATAAGCTGTACTTTGGAAATTTATATTCATTATTGATATCTTGTCAACTTAAATTTAAATTCTCTGTAAAAATAAAAATAAAAAAAAGAAATTAAAAGAAAAAAAATGGCTAGAAGGAAACTTAAAAAAAAATAACTATGCTCACCATGCTGTATATTAAGTCTCCAAAATTAACTTATGTTATAACTGAAAGATTGGGTCTCCTTTCCCCCATCTCCTGGTCTTTGGCAGTACCATTCTCTCTCTCTCTCTCTCTTTCTCTCTCTCTCTCTCTTTTTCTTTCTCTTTTTCCTTTCTCTCTCTCTCTTTTCTCTCTCTCCCTCCCTCCCTTCCTTCTTTTCTTCCTTTTTTTCCTTTCTTTCATTTATTTGAAAGGCAGAGTTACAAAGATAGGAAGAGAAAGAGAAATCTCCCTTATGCTGGTTCACTCCCCAGATGGCAGCAATGGCAGGGCTCGGCAGCACGGAATCCAGGAGCCAGGAGGTTCAGTCAAGTCTCCCACGTGGGTGGCAGGGGCCCAAACACTTGGGCCATCTTCTGCTGCTTTCCCAGGTCATTAGCAGTGAGCTGGATTGGAAGTGAAGCAGCCAGGACACAAAGGGCAACTATTTGGGAAGCCAGCATAACAGGCAGCAGCTTTACCCACGACATCATAATGCCAGCCCCAGTAGTACCATTTTCTACTCTGTTATTTTGAGTTTGACTTTTCATAGATTCCATATATAAGCAAGATCATGTAGTGTATTTCTTTGTGTCAGACTTCCTTCATTTAGCATAATGTCCTCCAGATTCATTTATAATGTTGTGAATATCAGTATCTCCTTTTTAAAGGCTGAATAATAAACACACACACACACACACACCCCACAATTTCTTTATCCATTCTTATATAAGTAGACACTTAGGTTGTTTCCATATCTTGGCTAAGTATAAAAATGCCACAGTGAACATGGGAGATATCTCTAACTTAATTTCCTTTGGATACAAAATAGTTGCTACATAATATGATACTTTATTTTTAAGCTCTTGAGGAACATCTCTACTGTAAACTATACCAATTTATATTCCCACCAATAGTATGCAGGGTTCCTCTCCATCCTTTCCAACACTTGTTACCTTTGGACTTTTCAATAATAGACATTCCAGTGGTGGAAAGTAATTTCCTGTTGTGCTTTTGATTTGTGGCTCCCTGATAATTAGTCATGTTGAATATCTTTTCAAATACCTGTTATCCATTTACATGTCCTTTGGAATAATGTCCATTCAGGTCCTTTGTTCATTTTTTTGATCAAGCTATTTGTTTTGTTGTCTATTGAATTGCATGTGAGTACCTTTTAGAATTTAAATTGTTACAACAGTTTCCTCTCTTACCACCTTTCCTCTGTATCTCCCCTCTTACTCCTCCCTGGAAGTTCTACCTTGCTTGCTCCGTCTTTGGGAGCTATGAATTGAGGGTCCAGCTTCATACTAATGGGGTTCCATAGAGGCAGATACCTCCAGTGGTTGACAAATTGGTGTGCACTGGAAGTGACTTTTGGCCTAGTTTCCCTAAATGTTTACGAAGAATGCCAAGCTCGTCTGAATGAGGCAATGACAAGCTGATAGCAGTGAGTTTGATAATGATGTCTCTTTGTTGGTGACAGTAAAAATGAGGCAAACTAGACTTCCAGGTATGAAAGGTAAGGAGAAAAACATTCCAGACTCTCACAACTGAGCAGGGAACTCTGACCTGTTAGTTAAGATCCAGGAAAGGAAATACAAAGGTCAGGATGGTTTGTTCACCAAAGGAATCATCAAAAGGCTACAAGGCACTGGAATCATGCAAAATGAATCAAAAACCTCAAAGTAGAAGCTGACAATGTGCAGTAGCATGAAAGTAAGTTCTGCAGAGCTCTGAGTCTCTCTTTCTTATATTCTGTTTTCTTTTTTAAGTAAGCTACCCTCTGCTCCTCTCTTCCTTTATCTTACTCCTCTAATTCTGTGATACCAAATAATTTCTTACTGTCCCTACCCATCTCACTCAATCCATACCCTGCTTAGAAAAGGGAATTGATGATGAGCCTCAAAGTAGGTCATTTCCCAGGGAGTATTTACATTTTGTCATCAAATGCAGTAGAACCTCCTTAACATTCTGCTGCCAGCATTCCTTCCTGGGTATGAGTGCCCATTCTCCATGCACCTGTCACCCAAGCCATTCCCCATCCCTCCACTTCACAGTGGGTATGTAACCTAGGCTGGACCAATCTTTCCTCAACACAATGCCTGTGGGCACAGAACCCAAGCAGGATATGCTGGTTCTGGGCATGTTTGCTCTCAAGTCTTTCCGTCTCCAGGCCCTGGTGCACTCTGAATCACAGCAGGAATCTACTGGCTTCTAGCTGGCTGTAGCCAGTGAGAGATGGATGGGGGCTGCAGTGCAGGAGAAAGGGTGAGGCCAAGGTCCTTTTCTGCTCTCCCTCTCCTGGTTCACCCTGGTTGAGCCTCTGCCCCGGCTCTGGTAATTCTTACTTTTATCTCTTTAAGAGAGGTTTCGGCTTTCTCTTTTTGCTGCTGAGTTGTTTGTTTTTTTGTTTGTTTGTTTGTTTTTTTTTTCAGCATTCCTCATTTTGTCTCAGCTTTTTAAACACCATAGAATCAACTGTCTGCTTTAAATTCTCTTTATTTTAAATACTTAGCATGCTTTCTGATTCCTGCTGGAACAATAACTAAAATTAGAATCATTTGTGAGACTTGACTTGTGGATGATCAGAGAAAAGAAGTCCCGCTTCCTATTAGATTATCAGGTTATAGGACTGGGGAGGCCAATAGAGGCTTTCTGACTACCTAAACCCAATTTGAGAATGATCTGAAACACAGAAGCACAAAGAGCCAGGAAATAGACAAAAAGAATCCTGAAACATTCTTAGAATTTGTTGCTCTAACTAGACCTAAGCTAGCATCATCATGTATTCTTGTCCTAAACCAGGACACTTGAAAGTAAAAGTGGCTGCTGGTACTTTTTAAGTCTGGGTGACCAGCAGAAATTGGGACTACAGTAGGCAAACTGAAACATACGAATATAGTCACCCAACCTAAAACTCATTCAGTCTGCTGGACTTTAACATTGAGCCATTAAATTCCCCCTGATTTTTCACCTAATTCAAGTAAGATTCCTATCGCTAAACTAAGACTGCTGACTGGTGTAGGGGATAGAACTTTAAATCACGGGAATGATTTCCTAGTGGTAGGATTTCAGGGAAGAAAGGGGAATACAAATATCCTCCTGAATTTGCCTCCACAACTGCATGCAGAGCTTGCATATCTTTGGTACAGCTATTTTTGGAACATTATATGGAATGTTAATTGTTATACCCCAAGAGTGATGCAAATAGTGCCAAGAAAAAAGCTATAATCACGGAGGAAAACACATACATTCTACTCTCAGGCTAAATGTGGCTCTTCAGTGATTTTTTTTTTTCATTTAAGCATATTTTCATCTGAATACAAACTTGGGCCTAGCACATACAATGCATCGGCCCTGTGTGTAGCCTCTAGGTCTAGCACTGCAACTCCACTAAGAACATTGGCCTTGGGGAACTGCTTTCCTCCTTTATTCTCTTTCCTTTCCTTTCTCTATTCTCCCATAAGGTCTCATTTGTAACACAGATTAAATGGGCTTTTGATGGCTTGCCTAAGAATCCAATAGTCATTTACAACTATTTCTATAAGAACACACATTCTTTAGATAGTGCTGAGAAGGGTATGCCAAGGGCACATGACACTTGTTGGCCTATTAATTCAGTGCACTCACAGCAGCTGCCTAGTTGATGGCAAAACAGAAACAGCAATTCTGACTGTGCCTCCTATGTTCTGTGGAATACTTACCCCACCCCAAAGGAGGTCACTTTTCACTTAGGAAGCCATTCGTAATTCCAGTGTTTGGAATTCCATGAGTAGATAGATCTTTTAGAAGCCATAAGGGATGATTGCAACTTTGATTTCTTGAATCTCTGTGTCAGTTCATTATTAAGGGGGCAAATATACTATGAACTTGCAGGAAATATCCAAAGGATTTAGTAGCCAACTAATAAGTCTCAAGGACTGGTTCCTATAGAGTTGATTCTTCTGATCACAAAACAAATTAAAAAAGAGGTTAAATTGGTGCCAAATTATTCATTAGTGATGAAAATATAAGCATACACAACTTTCAAATTCAAAGATCAAAAATGCGACACATACAAACCACTCCCTACACTGCCCACCAGGAGTCACTTTGTTCTGGAAGGAGCATTTTTGTTTCCATGTCGCTTTAGTAAATTGTAAAAAACATTTCTATATTTTTGTCAAAGTGTATCATAAGTACTTCATGATGTCAGAACAATGGTAATCTGGAATGCTGTGTGAAATTCTTCACTTCCTTTGAGTAAAAATCCATTGAATATTATAAAATCTACAAGATCCATTATCCCTGACGATGATACATAATGGGTTTTTCCTAATTCTTGATCCTGAGCAAAATATATTGAGGAAAACTTTCTGGAAAAATGTAAGAAGGAAACAGGTCAAACTCACACATGTTGAATAAAAAGATGACTGTAGGTAACACAGTCTAGATGCTTGAGTTTGCTAGGTCACTTTCAGAGACTGTGATGTCCTCAGAAACCGATGGCTCCAGCAGTCTGAAGTGTTCATGTAGCGCAGGAAAGGACCTGAGCATGTTGTACATCCTCACTCGCAGCCGTATCGGAGTCATCCCAGGCAGCGTCTTCACTTTCTCAGTCGATGATGACAGTGACTCCCACACCTTGGAAGCTTCACTCAGGAAGATTTTTGTTCTAACAGTATAGAGGATAAAAATTTGCAGTCCCTGCAGGAAGAATAAAAGTTTCACATCAGATAAGTGCTGAGGTACAGAATCAAGAATGAGACTTTCTCTCTCCCTGCCAGCCACTCTTTTCATCATGCACAGCCACTGCCCACTTTGGACTTTTCATTTGGCAGCTGCCATTTACTTTCATATCTGAGGGTTGAAGCAAAGTCTTTCTTATACTGCAAGTGATCTGTATCGATATCGATATCAATATCAATATCGATATAGATATACACACATATATAAAATAGCACATTTTGAAGACCTGAGCTCAGGTCTCAGCTTGCCATTAGCTAGCTCAGTAACTTTGTTCACTTCCTAATTCCTGCTATCTTCAGTTTCATAAAGGAGGCAGATTAACTTTGCAATACCTAATTTTTCTTCCAGTTCTACTATCCTGTGATTTCAAGTTTCACAGATTTTCACAACATAACTATAAACTTGGTGCCCTTCTATTCACAGTTTCTGTGCACTTAAATGAAGACCAGATGTATATGAAGGATTAAACTGCAAAGGCCTAAGACTTTCTACATGTTTTAAATGAAAACTGCCACTTATTGAAGTCCTGTTAGGAGCAGATAATTGCTTCTTATTCAATCCTCATCATTTGATCCTTCTCTTTTAATCCTTAAATAAACCCTATAAAATAAGTCTTACTATATCCATGGTATAGGTAAGGAAACCAACATTCAGATAAATTAAATAACTGGCTCAAGATTACTCATGCAGTAATGAGTAGGCTCTGGAACTGAATTCTTTTATCTTTGGCTCCAAAACCCCTCTTTTATCCAATCTACAACTCTGTTTCTTGCTTATAACTGCTAACAGAAAGTAGAGAATATATTATAGTCTGAAGGCACCTCTGTTACTTCGTCACTAACATTCTTTGTGGAACTAACAGATGGAGTAGCATCTGTAGCTACTATACTTGATAATATTGTACCAATGTTAGTTTCTTGATTTTGATAATGTACTATGGTTATATAAGATACTATCATTGGGAAAAGCTGGACAAAAGATATATGAGACATGAGCTGTTTTTCCAAAGTATTGTTAAATTATTTAAAAATTTCAAAGTTATTTTAAAGTAAATACCCATAGATATCTCCTTGACTATCACCTACTGGGCCTCAAGCCTTGTAAATATTTATCTCTAGAATCATGATCTGTGAGTACCATCATAGAAGACTCCTGGTGCTATGGTATGATAACTCAGACTCTGCTAGCTTGACTAATATAATCATAGGAAATGGCAAGAGATAGACTAGCTCGCTAGTTAAAAGTGCAGAGAGTAACTTCATTGTTACCAAACAGATGGTATCTAACTCATCAAAAGAAAAACCATGTGACTCAGGGACACCTTTACACAGAGGTTATCACTTTCAGCAACTCAATCAGATAGTCATCAAACACCATACTTTCTTCATAAAATATTAGGGGTACAGCACATTCTGATATTGAACAAGATGTTACATTGGGTATATCACAAATACACCCAAGTATGTTTTTTGCACTCAGACAACTGATATTCTAGTCAAGAAGAAAGTATTTACATGTACAAAAGTTAGTGTAGAAAAATAGTTACAAAACCATAATAATTCTATTTTGATAATAAATTATATTGATTTAATTCACATTTAAATTAATAAATCTAGAATGAAAGTAATCACTTCCAGGGAATAAAGACTATCAATAAGCAATCTATGTGGGTTGCACCAGTATCAATTTCCTGAGCTTGATAATATAATACAGTTATATAAGATATTCAAATTTGGAAAGTTGTGCTGTTTTACAACTTCTTATGGGTATAAATTTATTTCAAAATAATTTTAAAAAGTAAAAGCAGGATGGTATGGAAACAGAGAAAAATTAAAGAAGAATTTTGACTTCCTCTCCTACTTCTTTCTGCAACATAAGATTTCAGGAAGTCTATAGAATTTCCATGAAAGAAAGTCATTTCCAAGAATTAAATGACATTAACTTGTGTTTCATATGTTTTGGTATATAAAGAAAAACTCTCAACCAGGAAAGTACTCATTAATCTTTACAAAATATACACTAAATATAATCACTCAAAAAATGCTGCCTTTGGGGCTGGCATTGTGGCACAGCATGTTAAGACACCACGTGCAATGCTGGTATCCCATATAAATACCATTTCCAATCCAGCTCCCTGCTAATGAGCCTGGGAAAACAGCAAAAGATGCCCCATGCTTAGACCCCTGCACCCACATGGGAGATCTAGAAGAAGCTCCTGGCTCCTGGCTTCAGCCTGGCTCAGCCCTGGCCATTGCGGCCCCTTGGGAAATGAATTGGTGGATGGAATCAGCAATCTCTCCCTCACCCTCCCCCTCTCTCTCCCCTTCCCCTCTCTTGCTCCCTCCCCCTCTTTCTCTCTGTAACTCCCTCTTCCAAATAAATAAATAAATAAATCCTTTTTTAAAAAAGTGCTTCATTACATACAGGGTTTTTCAGAAACACATTTAACTTCTGTTTAAAAAAAAGAAATTGCAGTTTATTAAACATAATTAAAATTGTATAAATATTTCTTAAAAGACAACAATGGGCCCATTGTGGAGAAAGCAGAGCAAATGATAGCTGCCTATGATCCTACACTAAGCATCTCTCCACAGAGACACCCATTTGAATACCTATTCACACAATAAAGTATACTTATAAAGTACATTATATTATTTTTTAAATATTTATTATTTACTTGAAAGTCAGAGTTACACAGAGAGAGAAGGAGAAACAGAGAGAAAGAGGTCTTCCATCTGCTGGTTTACTCCCCAGATGGCTGCATCAGCCGGAGCTGCACCAATCTGAAGCCAGGAGCCAGGAACTTCCTCCGGGTCTCCCACACAGGTGCAGGGGCCCAGGCACTTGGGCCATTTTCTACTGCTTTCTCAGGCCATAGCAGAGAGCTGGATCAGAAGTGGAGCAGCCGGGACTCAAACCAGTGTCCGGATGGGATGCTGGCACTGCAGGCAGTGGCTTTACCCATTATGCCACAACGTCAGCCCCAAAGTACATTATATTATATGGAGGAACCAGGCAAAGGACTTTAGTGTCTGGTTTATTTACACATTTCTAATTTTCATGTACTTATTTATTTATTTGACAAAGAGATTTCCCATCTACTAGTTTACTTGCCAAATAACTACAACATCCAGGGCTGGGCTAGGCCAAAGCCAGAAACTAAGCACATAATTTGAGTCTCTCATGTGGGTGGCAGGGACCAAATTATATGAGCCATCACCTGCTGCCTCCAAGGTTCACATTAGCAGGAAGCTGGAATTAGGAACAGAGCCAGGACTCAAACCTACGTGCACCAATATGGGACGCCAGTGTCTTAATTGCCCTCTATACTGCCTGTTTCAATGTGATAGAAAAGAATTGTTGAGGAAGGCAAGAAGTAAAACGTTGCCCATATCACCCTTTCCACAGATCCAGGCAGCACAGAGTGAAGAAAGATGCCTCCTACTTGAAGAGGGAATGGGAATTAAGTCCAGGTCATACCAGGCCCAGTACCAGACTTGCAAGGCAGAGCTCCACAACCCTGCCTCCAAGCCAGTATCTGTGAACTAAGCATCTGTAATTGTGCTACCAAGGTGGCCAAAGGACTGTTTTCCAACACCCCTGCCCCAACCTTGGACTCCACCACTGAGGGGTGTGGACAGTAAAATGAGCAAAAGGTATACTATGGCCTTACGATCAAAGGAACTAAGAACATAGTATCTGTCATTCCATCTCTCAAAGTCAATTCTAAACCAAGGAAAAAGGTAAACAGTGGTCTCTTAGCAGTCTTCACTCATGCCAGATACCTAGGTATTTATTGCTAGAGGACACTATGGCCTTCAAAAGCCCTGAACTCAGTTTAGGGATTTTTCTGGGTTACCACGTTGCTGCATCACCCCAGAGAAAGACCCCAGCCTCCACTGTTCCTTCCTCTACCCTCCTGCTGCATGCAGCCATCTTGAGATCCCCTCCTGGCAAAGCTCCTTTGAATCCATTATTCCTACCATCTCCACAGGCCCAGCTCTGTAAGGCCCCTAGGAGGTCCTTCAACTCCCTGATGGCCCTGAGAATAACTTGGGCAGGACAATCTGGGAGGCTCAACCTGTAGAGACCTGAAGAAAACATTGGATGGCCCCACTCACCTTCCTGGAAGCAGCTGAGTGGCCCCACCCATATACTCTCAACCCCAGGAAGCCACCAGACAACTAACCCTGAACAACTAAATCCGCAGAGTCCCAGGGAAGCAGACAAGTGGACCTGCCCACCTATTCACAATACCAGGAGGCAACCAAGCAGCTTTTCTTGATTGATTCAATTGGCTGAGGTTGCTGGATAGCAATGAGGTAGCCCTACTCACCCAGGAAGATGTTGAGCATCCTCTTCTTGGAAATTCAGTCTGCTGAGGCCCTGAGAAGTAGCCGCTTGACCACACCCACCTACTCTCAGTCCCAAGAAAACAGTTGGGCAGAACTCCCTGAGCTGGTCAGTCCCCAGAGATCCCAGGAAGTTACTTGTACAGCTCTCAGATACTGACACATGCCCTACCCCATTACTAAGTATGCTGGATCACACTAACATGGGTCCATATGTGTGGCCCTGTACTGATATGACCCACAGAAACTGATAAGAACCCTACACCTGCAGCCAGGCACACCACACAGAGCTGTCAGTGAACCTACTCCACCCAAGGTAGCTGCATCCCAAGTGGAGGTGCAGTTCTACACTCCCAAAGCCGAGGACACTGAAACACCCACAGACATCACCAACATTGGTTACAGCTGAAGAAGCTACATGGCTGCTTCACTAAAGCACCCATCTGAAACTAAAGCCAACACAGCCTATCCAACAACAACTTAGAACACACAGCCAGTAGGAGCTCTTCTACTATACGGGTTATGAAATTGGTAGAAGCAACTGACCCTCCAAGTGCACAAACATTAACATTAGGGGCAGAGGAAGCATGAAAAAAAAAACAGGTTACAATTATGCCTCTTAAAAAAATTCAATACTTACAGCAATAGATCACAAAGAAATGAAAATCAACAAATTTCCAAATAACACAAAAGAATAATTTTAAGGAAACTTAATGAGACATAAGAAAATATAGACAATTTAGCACCATTTGGAAGACAATCTATGATATGAATGAGAAACTCCACAAAAAGATAGAGATTTAAAAAAAATCAGAAATATTAGAGCTAAAGAATTCATTGGGGGCAGACATCTGGCACAGAAGGTTAATCTGGGACGCCTGCATCCTATATCTGAATGCCTAGTTCAAGTCCCAAGTACTCCACTTCTGATCCAGCTTCCTACTAATGCACTTGGGAGGCAGCAGATGATGACCCAAGTACTATCCATGCATCTGGTGAGTGTTCCGCAGGTGGAGTACCTGGCTCTTGGCTTTGGGCAGGCCCAGCCCTGGCTATTGCAGGCATTTAAGGAGTGAACCAGTGGGTGGAAGATCACTTTCTCTCTGTCTCTCTGCCTTTTTTTTTTTTTAAGATTTATTTATTTACTTAAAAGAGTTACACAGAGAGAGAAGGCAAGGCAGAGAGAGGGAGAGGTCTTCCATCTGCTGTTTCACTCCCCCAGATGGCTGCAATGGCCAGAGCTGTGCCAATCCGAAGCCAGGAGCCAGGAGCTTCCTCTGGGTCTCCCACACGGGTGCAGGGGCCCAAGGAGTTGGGCCATCTTCTACTGCTTTCCCAGGCCATACCAGAGAGCTGGGCTGGAACTCAAGCCAGTGCCCATATGGGATGCTGGCACTGCAGGCAGCCACTTTACCTGCTACACCACAGTGCTAGCCCCTCTCTGCCTTTCAAATAAATAAATAGATTTTTAAAGGAATTCAATACATTAAATTAAAAATTAAATTGAGGGTCTCATCAGTAGAATTGAGCAAGCAGAAGAAAGAATTTCTAAGCTTGAAGACAAGAAGTCTTTTCAAATATCACAGTTGGATAAGAAAACTTTCTTAATTAAAAAGAATAAAGAAAGGATTTGAGACTATGGGACACCATTAATGGAGCAAACATTCAAGTTATGGGGTTTCAGAAGAAGAGAGGCCGGCGCCGTGGCTCAATAGGCTAATCCTCCGCTTTGCGGCGCAGGCACACCGGGTTCTAGTCCCGGTCAGGGCGCCGGGTTCTGTCCCAGTTGCCCCTCTTCCAGGCCAGCTTTCTGCTATGGCCCAGGAATGCAGTGGAGGATGGCCCCAGTGCTTGGGCCCTGCACCCCATGGGAGACCAGGAGAAGCACCTGGCTCCTGGCCTTGGATCAGCGCAATGCGCCGGCCATGGCGGCCATTGGAGGGTGAACCAACGGCTAAAGGAAGACCTTTCTCTCTGTCTCTCTCTCTCACTGTCCACTCTGCCCGTCAAAGATAAAATATTAAAAAAAAAAAAAAGGAGAAGGGAAAAGGCATAGGAAACTTATTCAATTAATAATTACTGAAAACTTTCCAAATTTTGACAAAGATATGGACATCTAAGTCCATGAAGTCCTAAGGATCCCTAATAGATTTAACAACATCAAAAGTCTCTCTAAGGTGTATTATCATCAAACTGTCGAACATCTAACACAAAGAGAATTCTAAAACAACAAGAGAAAAGCATCAAGTCACTTATAAGGGAATCTCCTTTAGATTAATGGAAGAATTCTCAACTGAAATCTTATAGGCCATGAGGGAATGGAATAAAATATTTAGTCTTGAAAGAAAAAAAATTGCCAGTCAAGAGCATTATAGAAGCTCCAACCATGGTAAAGAGCTTCCATGAATCCTTGCATTGAAGAAAAGAAAACAATGTGTCTCTTCAACCATCAGTTTGATGAAAATCTCTTCTACTTAGAGAAAAAGCAATAATTTGGCTCAACCATAACCCAGAAAGATCACAGCAAGTGAGTCTTAAAGAAATTTCCCTCCTCTTCCCATGACATATTTTATAAACAGAGACTCCTAAAGGCAACTAGTGATGACCTTCAGGAAGTTTTAAAAGGAAGAAACTTTGGTCTGGGGTGATATCTTCTTCACCACAGATTGTTTCTGCTACTTTCAGACAAATCTATACCATACCTGAGTAGTGTTGAAAATGCAAAAAATATAGCTGAAGACCAGTCTGATGTCATCATTTTTAATTAGCATAAAATATGCCAGAATCCAGGTAATTCCAAAAACAACTGCAATAGAAAATGTGCTAATAATCTTCTTTATAGATGAAAACTTTTTTGTGCTAGGTAAGAGGAGAGCAAGAAAGAAAACACTATTAATTAGTTTTTTGACTTATCAATATCATTATTACTCTTCTATTTAAAATATATATACATCTGCCATTCTATGAGTCTGCTGTGTATCTTGCTTCCCATCTTGGGTCGTTCTCTCCCTTTATTATTCTATCAGTTAGTATTTGCAGACACTAGTCTTGTTTATGTGATCCCTTTGACTCTTAGTCCTACCGTTATGATCAATTGTGAACAGAAATTGATCACTTGGACTAGTGAGATGGCATTGGCACATGCCACCTTGATGGGAATACTATATATAGTATATACATACATATATAGTATAGATAGATAAATAGATAGATCAATCAATCATTTAACAACAGTATGCCTCCGGCAGAAAAACAACGATGCTAGATGTTATGTCACTTTTGAGAAATGCTAATTTAGCAAGGTTTGTTTAAAAAATGCACTGATATCAAATCAGATGAAAAGTGTTCCTTAATTACTTCTACTACAGGCAAACTTCATTAACAATCATCTTACTCATTGGAATGGAATTTTATTTAGTGAGTATTACTATAGGATAAATCAGCAGGAAATTCCTTTATGGATCATCTGGTACCTTCCTATGCCTTGGATGGATACAGGAAAAAAAAGATTATCTAGATGTGGGGTGATCTTCTTCCCTCTCATAATTAAGTCTATATCCCTGGAATCTGAGCTTGGCCTCATGACTTGCTTTGATCAGTGTGACATTAACAAATGTTGCAAGCAAGAATTGAAAGCATTTGCTCATTAGAATTTACCAACCCTCACCACTCTTTGGAACCCCAAGACCACTATATTTAGAAACCTCTCCCAGCCTAATGGAAGATAAGAGACTATATGGAGCAGAGGTGAGTTTTCCCAGCAGCTCCCTACCCAAACAGCTGCCACCCACTATCAACCAGTTACCAACTGCCAGGTATAGGAGTGAGGCTTGGTATACTATCCATTGCTATTCAAGCCACTCAAGACCAAACACCTACCCATCTAACACTTAAACTAATGATAAATAGTAAATGTTTTTCATTTAAGCCACTAAGTTTTGAGGGGCTTTGTTACATGGCTAAATGATAAATGGAAGATCGTTTCTAGGCAACTAAAGTATACCATCCTTTTCATCATAACTTGGCCAACTGAAGAACCACAGACTATCAGTCAACATTTGGAAATATGCTTTTGGTGTCTGCGATTTACAAAGGTATCGTTTTGGGGCAGCAGCATTGTGGCATTTCATATGGATGCCAGTTCATATCCTGGGTGGTGCTGCACTTCCAATCCAGCTCTCTGCTAATGGCCTGGGAAAAGCAACAAGAGATGGCCCAAGTACTTGGGCCCATTCCACTCATGTGGAGACCTTGATGAAGCTCCTGGACTCAGCCTGGCCCAACTCTGGCCATTCTGGGCCATCTGAGGAGTGAATTAGCAAGTGGAAGATATTCTCTCTGTGTGTCTCTTTCTGTCTGTGTGTGTGTGTCTCTCTCTCTCTCATCTCTTCCTCTATCTCTATAACTCTTTCAGGTAAATAACTCTTTTCTAAAAATAATAAAATGAACAGTTTTATATAAAGGAAATATAACCTTCTTCACCATTACACTGAGAGGTATTCATCAAGTTTTTCCTGCATTGCAATTAAAATGTAGGTTTTAATGTTTATCAGTGAAAATATCTTCCTCATATTTACCCTTAATATGAACTATTACTCATATAGAAAACCTTTGATTATATTCCCAAGATTATAATCCCATGAAAGATGGTGGTTTTCACTCATCTGTTCAAGTTGAGTGGATCCATTTGTGAACTTACTCTTAGGTCACAGATGTATTCATAGAAAATCTACTAGAAATAAGCATAGTCTCACAGAGCTAAATCAGATCTGGCTAAAAAGCCCTTAGAGAGTTTCTCAGGCATGGAAAGCCAAGACACTGTGGCAAAAAACAAAAAAAAACAAACAAACAAACACGCCTAAATGAAAGATAATCTTTGAGTGAGATCCCAGTGGAAAGAACGGGCCATCAAAGAAGGAGGTATTTTTCTCTGGAGGGAGGAGAGAGCTTCCACTTTGACTATGGCCTTGTCTAAACAAGATCAGAGTTGGTGAACTCAAGAAGCTTCCATAGCCTTGGCAACTCATGACAAGAGCCTTGGGTGATTACTGACGTCATAATAAGAGTGTAAATTGTTAAATCAACAACAGGAGTCTCTGTGCACCTTCTCCCCATGTAGGATCTCTGTCCTTAATGTGTTGTAGTATGCAAATTAACGGTAAAACTACTACTCAAACAGTACTCTATACTTTGTGTGTGTGGGTGCAGTCTGTTGAAATCTTAAAAAAAAAAAAAAGATTAATAGAACAATCTCTCAACAACCACATGCCTCTACCATTATCTAAGCATTTGAAAACCCTTCCAGGAATTCTTGTTGTATCATGGTATTGTACTGTGTGCTAGATGAGCCTTGCTTGGCAGCTTCCCATTCATTAGGAATCTTACCTTGTCAGATTCTGGTTATTCTTCCATAGTACTTTGACTGTGATTATAATTAATATAACAACATTGCCAATGAGAATAAAGGTTATAGGTATGATGAATGACCACAGAAATGGACTTTTTATAAAATCATTGCTTTCTGGAATTGCCAGCCAGCAGCTGTTGGAGAAGAGAGAAATTATTTCAACAGACCAAGAAAGGTATGCAAACAGTTTCTCTGTACTATTAACATTACTGACATTCACTTAAATGTCCTGCTAAAAATCACTATCTTTTTGCATCTGAGATGACTTGTAAGAATTCAATTATGTAGAAAATCAAAATGGGTTGGTTCTGCTACAATTCTAAAATTAATGGGAAGAAAATGGGCTTTTGTTTTAAACAGTCCTGAATTTAAGTGTAACAGCGTGTCATTTACAAGGTGTCTGATTTCAGGCAAGTTATTGTTTATATGTTATTTTTCAATATGTAGCATATCTACTTGGTTCAAAATATCAAATGTAGGGTAAGAATTTTGAAGATCAATCCCAGGACCAGCACTGTGGTATAGCAGGCAAAGCCACCACCTGCAGTGCCGGCATCCCATATGGGCACCAGTTCGTATCCTGGCTGTTCCACTTTTGATCCAGCTCTCTGTTATGGCCTAGGAAGGCAGTAGAGGATGGCCCAAGTTCTTGGGCCCCTGCACCTGTGTGGGAGACCTGGAGGAAGCTCCTGGCTTCTAGCTTCAAATCAGTCCAACTCTCGCCATTTTAGCCATTTGGGGGGTGAACCTGCGGATGGAAGACTTCTCTCTCTCTCTCTCTCTCTCTGGCTCTGCCTCTCTCTAACTCTGCCTTTCAAATAAATAAAAAACTCTTTTTTTAAAAGATTTATTTATTTTGCTTGAAAGTCACAGTCAGAGAGAGGAGAGGCAGAGAGAGAGAGAGACAGAGAGAGACAGAGACAGAGATAGAAAGAGAAATAGGTCTTCCATCTGCTGGTTCACTCCCCAGATGGCTACAATGGCCAGGGCTGCGCCGATCTGAAGCCAGGAGCTAGGAGCTTCTTCCGGGTCTTCCCACATGGGTACAGGGGTCCAAGGACTTGGGCCATCTTCTACTGCTTTCCCAGGCCATAGCAGAGAGCTGGATTGTAACTGGAGCAGCCAGGTCTTGAACCAGCACCCACATGGGATACCGACACTGCAGGCAGCAGCCTTACCCACTACATCATAGTGCCAGCCCCATAGATAATGCTGAAAACAAAAGATTAATCTCATTCAAAATAGCTACAAAAAGAATTAAATACCTTGGTATAAATATAACCAAGGTCAGAGAACTCTATGATAAAATTACAAAACATTAAAGAAATACAAGAAGACATTTAAAAATAGGAAAAAAATCTTCCATTTTCATGGATTATAAGAATCATTATCATCAAATTTCCATGCTACAGAAAACAATTTACAGATTGAATGCAATACCAATCAAAATATCAATGACAATCTTCTCAGAGCTGGAAAAAATAATGCTAAAATTCATATGGAAACACAAGAGACCCTGAATAGCAAAAGCAATCTTACCACAACAAAAACAAAGCTGGAGGCATCACAATACCAGATTTCAAGACATATTATAGGGCAGTTTTAATCAAAAGAGCCTGGTGCTGGTACAAAAACAGATGTGTAGACCAATAGAACAGTATAGAAACTTCAGAAATCAATCTATACATGCACAACATTGACAAGGGAGCTAATATCAATCCCTAGAGCAAGGACAGTCTCTTCAACACATGGTGTTGGGAAAGCTGGATCTCCACATGCAGAAATATGAAACTAGACCCCTACCTTACACCTTACACAAAAATTCACTCAACATGGATCCAGAACCTAACTCTATGACCCAATACCATCAAATTACTAAAGAACATTTGGGAAACTCTGCAAGATATTGGCATAGGCAAAGACATTTTGGAAAAGACCCAGAAGTACAGGCAATCAAAGCCCAAATTGACAAATGGGATTACATCAAGTTGAGATATGTCTGCACTGCAAAATAAACACTCAGCAAAATGAAGAGGCAACTGACAGATGGGAGAAAATATTTGCAAACTATGCAACTGATAAAGGGTTAGCATCCAGAATCTACAAAGAACACAAGAAATTCAACAACAACAAAACAAGCAATCCAGTTAAGAAATGGGCAAAGGGGAGCCGTCACTGTGGCGCAGTAGGTTAATCTTCCACCTGTGGCACCAGCATCCCATATGGGCACCAGTTCTAGTCCCACCTGCTCCTCTTCCAGTCCAGCTCTCTGCTATGGCTTGGGAAAGCAGTAGAAGATGGCCCAAGTCCTTGGGCCCCTGCACTCGCATGGGAGACCCGGAAGAAGCTCCTGGCTCCTGGCTTCAGATCGACACAGCTCCTGCATTGTGGTCATTTGGGGAGTGAACGAATGGAAGAAAGACCTTTCTCTCTGTCTCTCCCTCTCACTGTCTGTAACTCTACCTCTCAAATAAAAAAAAAAAAAAAAGAAATGGGCAAAGGACTTGAACAGGATCATTAGCCATCAGGGATATGCAAAACAAAACCACAATGAGGTTTCAACTCACTCCAATTAGAATGGCTGTCATAGATACAGAAATCAACAAACAACAAATGCTGGTGAGAATGTGGGGGGAAAGGTACAATAATCCACTGTTAGTGGGAATGTAAATTAGTGCAGCCACAGTGGAAGACAGTATGAAGATACCTCAGAAATCTGAATATAGACCAACCATATGACCCAGCTATCCCACTCCTGAGAATTTACCCAAACTAAAAGAAATCAGTATATGAAAGAGTTATCTGTACCCCCATATTCATTGCAGCACAATTCACAATAGCTAGGGTATATAATCAACCCAGATGTCTATCAACTATTGACTGTATAAAGAAATTATGATATACATACATTATAAAGTACTACTCAGTTATAAAAAATATGAAATCCTGTCTTTCACAACAAAATGAAAAAAACTGGAAACCATTATACTTAGTGAAATACGCCAGTGCCAAAGAGACAGATATCATATGTTTTCCTTGATCCAAGGTAACTAATAGAGTACCTAAAACGTAATGTATTAGAGTGAAATGGACATTTTGAGACTGGATGATTCTTTACAGCCCTTATCTCTTTTGTTGAGGAACAGGTTTTTTTTTCTTCCTACTATTTGTTGAACTCTTATACTTAGCATAGGGTTAATTTTATGATCATTAAGTAAACGAAAGTAGATCTTTGTAAAATTAAGAGTGGGAATGGGAGAGGGAGGAGGAAGAAAGGTTTGGTGTATGGGTGGGAGGGAGGGTAGAGTGGTAAGTATCACTATATTCTTAAATATGTATATATGAAATACATGAAACTGGTATAACTTAAATAAAATTTTAAAAATATCAAGTATAGGGCCGGCACCACAGTTCACTAGGCTAATCTTCCACCTGCGGCACCGGCACCCCAGGTTCTAGTCCCGATTGGGGCGACGGATTCTGTCCCGGTTGCTCCTCTTCCAGTCCAGTTCTCTGCTGTGGCCAGGGAGTGCAGTGGAGGATGGCCCAGGTCCTTGGGCCCTGCATCCGCATGGGAGACCAGGAGGAAGCACCTGGCTCCTGGCTTCGGATCCATCAGTGCAGCGCACAGCCCTAGCGGCCTTTTGGGGGGTGAACCAATGGAAGGAAGACCTTTCTCTCTATCTCTCTCTCTCTCTCTCTCACTAACTCTGCCTGTCAAAAAAAATTTTTTTTAAATATCAAGTATAGAAATGATCATAACTAGACAAGAATTTTTTCTACATTTGTCTCCAGCCACTCAATCAGTATTTTTTCTGTATCCTTTCAAATTAAGGCTAGGCATACACCAGCAAATGGATATTTTTCCTTGATTTGTAATCAAATAATATTTGGCACATTCATCTATAGCTCACTTACCTGAATACCTCAAAGATCATTCAATAACAGAATAAAAAAACCTCATTATTTTATACAACTGTATATGATTCCATTATGTCACTATATCAGAATTTATGTAAGTAGTCTCTTATTTGTAGACATTTTACAAATGGTGATATTTTAAAAGAGTTTGAGAAAGTTATTTAACCTCACTGCATCTATTTTGAGTTTTTTGGTGGTTATAGTTGTAGTAGTATTTTTTTCCTTATCTGAGGTGAGAAAAATAACAACTACTTTCTGGCATTGTTGAGTCAATTCATTCATTTTGTGTTTACAGAGTATATGCTATGTGCCAGACATTATTTCAAACACAGTATAGCAGTGGGCCAAGCAAAAATCCTTTCTGTAGTGGATTTACATTCTTCTGTCTAGACATAGATTAAATAAACAAATAAGTAAAGTAAGTAATAAAGTATATCAGATGATGACAAAATACTGTGGAAAAAATAAAACAGGTAGTAAGAGTAGAAATTACTGTATAAATGTATATGTGTCTGTGTGTAGGAGGGGGTATTTTTTTTAAAAATAGAGTAGGCAGGGAAAGTCTCATTAAAAAAAAGTGATATTTATCAAAGACCTATCATAGATGACAGAAGGGTGTTCCAGGAAAAGGCTACATAGCAAGTTGAAAGACTTTGAAGTGAGAGCTTAAGAAACAACAAACAGGAGGATATGGCTGAGCCAGAAATGATTAGATGGGATTTCTAGAAAAATATAAATTATGTAGGGACTTTGTAGATGATTACTTACACTCTGGGAAAGGTAAAGAGACATGACATGATCGTGTCTTGCGTTTTAAAACTATTATTCCAGGTGAAGTGAGGAGAGAAGGGTGTGAGAAAAAGTAGGACACCAGGCTAAGAATCTACTGCATTAATCCACGTGGCTTTGGCCCAAAGGAGGCAATATTAAGAAATAGTCTGATTCTGGATATATTTAAAAACAAACAGATTTATTGATGGGCTGGATGTAGGATGTAGGAAGATGAAAGGTGACTCCAAAACCTTAGGCCTGAGCACCTGGTAGGATGGAATTAGCATTAACTGAGATGGGAAAGACAATGAGATGAGCAGGTGTAGGAGGGAAGAAAAGGAGCTGCTAGCCCAGCGGGGGCATCAGGTAGGCAGCCAGGTATTAATAAAATCATGTGAGAATCCCTTCTATTCAATTATTGTTTTCTTTCCCCAGAGGTAAAACACCATTATTATACATGCCAAAGGACTTCTAAATTGTTTTATGCATTGGAATGTTATCATTTGAATGATCAAAATCATATTTCCAGTCTGAATGATGTAGGAGGAAACTGAGAAGGTCTTCATCTCTGTAATGAATTTAAAAAATAAAAAGGCATGCCTGCTTTCAACAGAAGAGGTTCATAACTAAAGTGGTAAGAATAAATAAAATTTATCTTCAGTCTTTCTTTTTACCTGTAACTGGAGGATAAACTTCCTGCCTCCATCTGCTTTGCAACCCATACACAGAAGAAATAGGAGGGCACTTGTCTAAGAATTTAATGGAATCCTGTTGAGAACTACTTCCCAGTCTCTTTTTAGGGGAAAAAAAGGATTTATTTAATTACTTAAAAGGTAGTTACAGAGAGAGTTATAGCAATGGCTGGGGCTGGGCCAAGCCTAAGCCAGGAACCAGGAACAGCATCTGGGTCTCCCACATGGATAATGGGCCCAGGCTCTTGGGCCATCTTCTACTGCTTTCCCGGGTGCATTAGCAGGGAGCTGGATTGGAAGTAGTGCAGCCAGAACTGGAACAGGTGCCCATATGGGAGAGAAAGTAGTGTCTAGGAGTATGAAATCCAGCCAGGCCATCAGCCACATGGCCTACAGCTAGGCATGGTCAGTCATGGGAGTGGTAAGTCCTCTGATGCTACAGCCTACCTTTGGAGGTTATTGAACACTTCCAAGTGTTTGGTTTTCATCTGGGTTGGTTTGGGACTTAAGGTAGAATCTGGGGATAAGAATGGTTGGATTTATAAAATGAGAAGGTAGTTTAGTTTAAGGAGCAGTTGCTGACTGGCAGCAAAAAAACATGTAAAGCGTTGAGTACCAGTTCAGTCCAGTTTTCTTCTCTTCCTCCCACATCAAAAGCACACACCATCCAAATACTTTTGTTATTGATGATTAGTTATTTACAATGGAGTCACAGGAACAATTTAGTTTGTGTGGTAAGTTTTCGTTATAATCCCATCAATGTAGAATCAGTATATAGAAGTGACAAATGCATAGTGCTTTTCAAATTATTAAATGTTTTCATTCTTGCTGGACTTCTTATAGTAATCCCAGAATAGGTTTTACTGTTATTGACATTCCTGCTTTTTAAATGAGAAAACTAAGGATTATACAAAATGAGTAATTAGGGATCATACCTATTATGTTTTCAGATATTTCAGACAATGAAAGGAGAAAATTTAAGAAAATAAAGTTCAGATTTAGAAGTTTAGTTGATTATTTGCTTTACAAATGACTTATCTAGGAAATTTCCATGTCACTGCATTAAAAATGATGTGTTCTTTGAGATTTTGTAATGCCCACCTCTAAATGTGACAGTCAAAAGTGAGATGCATATAACATTTGGAATCAACATCACTGAATAGTTATATTCTTTTCTTTTCTTTTATTTTATTTTTTGACAGGCAGAGTGGACAGTGTGAGAGAGAGACAGAGAGAAAGGTCTTCCTTTGCCGTTGGTTCACCCTCCAATGGCCACTGCCGGTGCGCTGCTGATCCGATGGCAGGAGCCAGGTGCTTATCCTGGTCTCCCATGGGGTGCAGGACCCAAGCACTTGGGCCATCCTCTACTGCACTCCCTGGCCACAGCAAAGAGCTGGCCTGGAAGAGGGGCAACCGGAACAGAATCCGGTGCCCCGACCGGGACTAGAACTGGGTGTGCCGGCTCCACAAGGCGGAGGATTAGCCTAGTGAGCCACGGCGCCGGCCTGAATAGTTATATTCTTATCTCAAATAAATTGATATTTTCAAAAATATAAACTCACATTTCCTCTTGCCGGTAGTCTAACTCCCATTGTGAGTCTTTCTTATTCTGAGAATAGATAATTCCCACAGTTATGGCCACTACTATCGCCGGGACACCTGTGTGATAAAAGAGAGGAACAGAATCAATAATTTATCCAAGAATAGGATTAATTACAAAAGACCATTAATGAATTATGCACCTGACCCTTTTCAGGAGGCATTGTTCTTTCCACCATGGATGATATACTACATGATCCTACAGACATAGGTCAAAGTAGATGTAATTTATCTTCTAAATGTTTTCCTTTTCCTTTTATTGTTTGCTGTACATATTTTCTGATTTCTGTGTAACTCTTACCACAATTTCCATTTTTTCCCAAAGAAACCTTTTATTTTTATATGGCTTAGTTCTTCTTTCACTTAAATAAATTTAAATGTGGATATTACTCATATAATTCTTCCTTTGCTGGAACACAATTAATTTTTGAAATAATTTTCTTGAAGAGTTATTCTGGTAGTCTTGTTTTTAGATTTATTGATTCATTTGGAAAGCAGTGTTACCAAGAGGCAGAGGCAGAGGCAGAGGCAGAAGCAGAAGCAAAAAGAGAGATCTTCCATCCACTGCTTAACTCTTTAAATGGTCACCATGGCCGGAGCTCGGCCGATCCGAAGCCAGGAGCCAGGAGCTTCTTCTGGGTCTCCAACCCAGGTGCAGAGGCCCAAGGACTTGGGCCATCTTCTACTGCTTTCCCAGGCCATAGCTGAGAACTGGATTGGAAGTGGAGCAGCCAGGTCTCCAACCAGCGTCCATATAGGATGCCGGCACTGTGGGTGGCAGCTTTATCTGCTACACCACAGTGCTGGCCTGGATAGTCTGTCTTGTAACATTTCTTTAAAGTATGTGGGAAGTTAATACTTGTTGCTTAAATCTCAAATAAAACTAGATGGAAAAAAGATTTAAGTTTGCTGCCCTGTATGTAGTATATCTTCCTTGATCACCAGTTCATCTTTCGCTTTAGTATAAGTTACTAGACATAAAGCATTCTTAGTTATTGCCATAGTGTCTATCTTCCCTCATGCTTGGCCTTGTACTTTTAGGCTTTCATTAGGTGTTTGTTTAAATTATTTCAACAAAATTAAATTCCTAAGTAAAGATGCAAATACTTACCCCATCCAATTAATGAGATGAACAGAATGAAATGTCGAGGAAGGGGCTTCATGGTCCTAATTAGGAGGAAATAGAGCTGTGTAGCACTGAGTCCATTCCAGGCAAATGTCACCAAGAGGAAGTAATGCAGTAAGATAGCAATCGCCGTACATGTGGGATTCGGGATGCCAATAGTGTCTGTTGTGGGTATTTCGTTATTATCAAAGTCAATATCATCGGTGCCACTGTCACTTGTCTGCAAGTTCTTATTGGAGTTTTCAATTCCAAACACAAAAAGGAGGTTGAAAATCAGCATTGATGTGCACAGACTGACCAACACCCAAGTTATTGAAGTTTTTCTGACTTTCCTGAAAATAAATAAATCTAAATAGTTAAATGAAAACAAAACAACTGAAAAAATAAACCCTAATGAAGTTGTGAGGGAACAAGGAATAGTATTATCCAACATAAAAGCAGCTTATAGCCCAGTGGGCCATCTGGGAAACCTACCTTCCCAATTATACCAGGAAAACATTTTCCCCTCATCTCCTTTCTACAAATTAGTGAGGTAAAGTAGTTGAAGTGTCCTTTCTTAGAACTGTATTCTGATCAAAAGTAGCAGTGAATCTACAAAGATGACTGCAGTGAACTCTAAATACTGGATTTATGCCCTGGTGGCTCTGTCTCATGCATGGCCTATACCATGATTTAACTAATAGAATGCAACAGAAAGCCTGGCAACCAGGATCAGCTTATCTATTAAACATAGCAGTACTTAGGGCCATGGTTTTTTCAGGGCCGATACAATGTTTTAACTTCTTTTAATTCTAAAAGACTAAATAAATAAGTAAATATACTTTTAGGTCAAAGAATATTAGTGTATTCATCTTTATACCAATGCAGTTATAAAATACAATTTTTAATTTTTTATGGAGGAAGTATCCCCGAAAGGCAAAAGTGCCTGGGGCCTGTAAAAGTCTTCTCCCCCAACCCCTACACACACACACACGATTTCCCCTTGGAGCTTCTGGAATTTCTGAGCACTGCAGAAATCCCATGGAAATGCTGTGAGGCGAATGGGGAGAGGGAAACATCCCAGCCATCCCAGCATCCTGAGTGAGCCTCCAGGTGACCTGGGAGCCGGCCACCATCTGACTTCTCATTCCACCATCTGACTCTCTCACGAGAGACCCCGGCAAGACCAAGAGTCATACACTCAGCTTAGCCAAGCCTCAGAATCATTAAAGATAACAAGTCATTGTTTTTTCAAAAAAAAGCTTTCTTCCACTCTGTGAGTTGTCCTTCTACTTTTTTTTTTTTAAAGTATTTATTTGCAAAGCAAAATTACAGAGAGAGAGGGAGAGACAGGTGGGGGTGGGAGAGGAGAGACAGTGAAAGAGAGTTCTTCCATCTACTGGCTTACTCCCCAAATAGCTGCAATGGCCAAAGCTGGGCCAAGCCACAGTCAAGGGCCTGGGACTCCATCTAGGTCGCACAGGTAGGTGGCGGGGGTTCCTTCCACTGCTTTCCCAAGCACATTAACAGGGAGCTGGTTGAGAAGTGGCACTGCTGGGACTGGAACCAGCACTCTTTGGGATGTCAGTATCAGAAGCAGTGGCTTAACCTGCAGTGCCACAACGCCAGCCATTAAATTATTGTTTAAGCCACTAAGTTTTAGGGTAGGGTAGGTTTTTTTTTTTTAATAGTAATAGATAAGTAATAACAGTAATAGATAAGTTCTACTCTACAAGCACATACAAAGGCTATCTGTATAAAAGTCTCCAAAAACATTTTTTTAAAGATTTTTGTCTATTTATTTGAAAGGTAGAGTTACAGACAGAGGAAGAGACAGAGAAAAAGCTCTTCTATCTGCTGGTTCACTCCCCAAATGGACAAATTGGCCAGAGCTAGGCCGATCCAAAGCCAGGAGCCAGGCGATTCTTCTGGGTCTCCCACTTGGTTGCAGTGGCCCAAGTACTTGGGCCATCTTCTACTGCTTTCCCAAGCCATTAGCAAGGAGCTGGATAAGAAGAGGAGCAGCTGGGACTAGAACTGGCATCCATATGGGATGCCAGTGCTACAGGCACAGGCTTAGTCCACTACGCCACAGCACTGATCACCTAAAAAGATTTTTTTAACATTCCAAAATAAAAACATACTGTAAATTAGAAGATGAACCCTGTACATACTGTAAATTAGCAGATATTTGGGAAATGATCATGTTTGAATATAAAGAAGAAATTTCTTGAACATTTAGATATAATTTATTTTTAAAACTTACTTATAAATTTTAAAACAAAAGGCCAACTATAATTTTTAATAATTTAAATAACAGTGTAATTTGTCTAAAATTAAAATATATGATATTTAACTGAAATTATATTTATTTAATGAATGAAGCTTCCATAAACATTTCAAGTTAGGTAAAAATATTTTACATTTGGCCTGATATTGCTGTGGATTCGATCTGAGAGGAGGAGCGCAGTGGGGCAAGAGGTGCGGAGTCACGACACAGACACTGATAGTCAGGTGAAAGCGGGCCAGAGGTGAGCAGCCTGCAGGCTTGTTTATTTCAGTTGGTACAGCAGCTTATATAGTCAAGGCATCCAATCTGGTCAAGGGGTGGTTTATGTCCTAACCAATCACTGCCTGTTGCCAGGCAGGTTCCTTTGCCAGGTGGATTCCAAAGCCATTTTCTGATTAACTGACGCTCGCTCGCCAGTACCATCTTGGCACAGCCTTCTCATTCCACCACAGTCTTTTGCTACTGATGCTATTATTATTCTTTATCATCTGAGTAGACTAATGATTACTATTTTGTTGAATGTCATACACAACACAATTTCACAGGCATCTTTCCTGCAAGACTTTTCAGAACTCTATTTCTCTCAAGAATCTCCCCCAGACTAATGCACCATGAACCATATTTTGGGAAATGATCAGTAATTTTCAAATGGTCAAAATGTTCTGAGCAATCCTTGAAATGTAGAACATGCCCAGGGGGCTGTTGCTTTATCTGAAGATGAAAATTCTGCATACAGAACCAAGTGCTCTTTAAAACTGCTTTGTCTCCTCATCTTTTTTTTTAAACAATCTTATTTAAATTTTTTTTTATTTGAAAGAGTTACAGAGAGAAGTAGAGACAGAGAGAGATAGAGGTCTTCCATCTGTTGGATCATTCCCCAAATAGCCACAATAGCCAGGGCTGTGCCAGACCAAAGCCAGGAGCCAGGAGCTTCTTCTGAGTCTTGCACATGGGTGCAGTAGCCCAATTACTTGAGCCATCTTCCACTGCTTTCCCAGGTGCATTAGCAGGGAGCTAGATACAAAGTGAGCAGCCAGGACTCAAACCAGCACCCATATGGGATGCTGGTACTGTACCACTATACACAGCACTGGTCTGGGTCCCCTCATCTTTACCTAATGTCCTTGTACTAATGGATCAGCTTTTTCTCTGATTTTATCTGTAGGGTGACCTTGTCTACCAGTCTTCATCAGAAGCAGGTATGTGTGCCATGCAGTGTGGTGTGAGGGTGAAGGCATGTGGTATATGTGTGGCATGCTGTGTACATGTGTGTAGTATATGCAGGATGATGCATGTGTGGCTCATGTATATGTTCTTTTTCCTACATGTCCATGTACATCTTCAAATTGGCAGAGCAGGCAAATTTTCCCTTCTTATTTATTTGACAGGTAGAGTTATAGACAGTGAGAGAGAGACAGAGAGAAAGGTCTTCCTTCCATTGGTTCACTCCCCAAATGGCCATAATGGCTAGAAATACGCCAATCTGAAGCCAGGAGCCAGGTGCTTCTTCCTGGTCTCCCATGTAGGTGCAGGGCCCAAGCACTTGGGCCATCCTCCACTGCCTTCCCGGGCCCCCACAGAGAGCTGGACTGGAAGAGGGGCAGCCTGGACTAGAACCGGCACCCATATGTGATGACGGCGCCACAGGCTGTATATGTATTTTTTCTCCTATTGTTCAAAGCTAGGTATATCTTTGGCTTCCATATAGTGATATATTATAGTTCTCTGTATACCGTGGCATTTAGTACTGTGCCATCAAAGTTATAAAATCATAAAACCTTCTTGATTTTTTAGACTGCAAGATTTCTTGGAATAACTATCCCCGTAGTTTATAACTGTGCTTAAAGCTCTAATATCCTCATGTATCTCTTTATTCTTAATATCACAGAATTTGATGACTAAGTCTATTTGCCCATTATATATCACTTAAAATTTTATGGTGTTCCGCATAACCTCTCTCAATCTTTGGATTTCCATACTGAACAAAAAAAGAGCTTATATTCAAATAGAACCCAGTCTATCCCTTTGACACTTAAGTCTTCTGAAAGGCTAAAGTACTACAACCAGAAAAGAGAACTCAAGGGGCTGGTGCTGTAGCATAGCAGGCTTATGGGCACTGGTGTGATTCTCAACTGTTCTACTTCCAATCCAGCTCTTGGCTAATGCGCCTGGGGAAGTAGCAGAAGATGGCCCAAGTACTTGGACCCCTGTACCCACTGGGAAGACCTGGAAAAAGCTCCTGGCTCCTGGCTTCTATCTGGCCTAGCCCTGGCTGCTGTGGCCATTTGGGGCGTGAACCAGTGAATGAATTTCTCTCTCCCTCTCTAACTCTGCCTTTCAAATAAAATAAATAAATCTTTAAAAGGAGAACTGAAAAGAATCCTTTTATTTAAAAATAAGTTTACCTTTTAATTTTGTCTAAATTTGAGCAATAAAGTATAATTTGCAGGAAGAATGAGCTAATTGCAAATAGCCTGGCCCTACATTTTTTATACTTTACCCTTGAACAAAGAAAACTGTGATTGAAGACTGTGAAAGTCAAGAAAACTTTGACTTTATGTTTGTTTCCTGATGAATTTTAGTGGTATCTATGATTGCAGAAATATGGTAGGAAACACATTAAGAAAGAAAGAAAAAAATCTGATGACAAATTGAAGCAGTGATATTTTAAGGTAGCAACAAGACTAGTTATGCAGCAACAGCAACTCAGCCATATAGGACTTCGTCACTACAACTCTGGTAATGGCAGAACAAACTTATATGACAAGGCATGTAATTTTCCTTCAAGGCATTTGCCACCATTTGTCATGTTGTATTCATTTGCATACATGTTTGTAGGTCTGTCTCTACCCAGCCCCAACCCTCAGAATGTAAATTCCATGAGAAATGTGAAATGATCAGTTTTCTATTCAGTTCCTCCCACAGTATTTGACACGCAATATAAAACTTTCCAATGAACGGCAAAAGACTCAATCTGTGAAAAGTGAAAAAGAGGAAGCAAAACAACTCTGGATCTTTGGAGAAAGTCTGTCTGGTTCCCATACAGAGTGAAGAAAGTGAAAA